ACCGTGTCCCAGCACACCAGTGTTCCACGTGCTGTTTGTACACAGAAATACACATTTGTAGGTGCTAAATCCATATTGATCAGCTTATCTGGACACACAGGCCTCAGGTACAAACAGCAGCAACGTTTTTTCCCCCTGATCTGCGGATCAGCACACACAGCAGCCTCTGCACCGGGCACTTCTTTCCACTCAGTGCTCCGGGCACCGAGCGTGGAGCATCCCTGGGGGGCTGCACCCCTGGTTCACCTGCACAGCCTGGCCAGGAGGGCCGAGGGAGGGAGCAGATGCTGTGTTAGAAAGCTCTGATTAACTGGAGTCCCACTGCAGGTTACCAAAGGTTCCAGTATTTTGCCTTTCAGTGCTGTCAGTCGCCCCCAGTAACCTGTGGGAGTTGAGGAATTTCAGCAGCTCGGCAGATTAAACCTCAAGAGCAAAGCTGTCACCCAGGTCTTTGTCATGCAAACTTGAGGCCAGGTTCAATAACATCCTGTTCCTCTTCTGCATTGCGGAAGCCTTGAAAAATTGATTTTCTGTTTTGCCACTGAGTTCGGTGGAACCAGACTTCAGCCCTCCAAGGGAATTGTATTCCTGTAGATTGTAGCTACTTCTGAAATCCTTAATTTCACATCCTTAAGTAGCAAACTTTGTGACAGACCAGGTGTGGGTGCAAACTTTGCTGAATGTTGTTGACCATTGCTGGGTTATTAACTCCCTTTATGGTCTGGAACACCTATTTTTTCCCCCCCTTTCAAAATGCATTTCACGGACTTGAAGTCCTGATCCAAAATACACAGGAATAAACACAAATTTGTGTATTGATCTCCAGAAAAGGATTTTGAAGGGAGTTGATCACTACTTATAGCAGGAATGCTTTTTTTAAAAGAAACAAGAAATGTAACCTATTAAGGTAACATTAATCCAGGGAAAACACTTCCTGGAGCAGCCAGAGCTTGTTAACACAGCCAACACCTGAGGCAGCACTGTGTCTTTAAGCTCTACTAATATTGAACAATAATTTTGGTGGAGGAAAACCTTCCCCTCTCCCTGAACAGGAACAAGACATATTATTGACTGCCATCCGGAAAGATGGATGCTGTGGCCCTCAGAGTCTATTAATATTTGATGCTGATGGATGTGAGCTGGCAGCATGAGTTATTAATGGAGTTTGGTTCCTTGGATCTCACCCTCAATCCATGGTGGGGAATTAGCCATAACAAGAACTGGATGCCCAAAGCTCTCAGGGTGCTGGGAAGGGCTGTCAGTTCCAGCAAAATGGGTGTTTCTGGAGTACTTACAGGCGTGGAAAGTCATAGGTGGGGCTGATTAGGTCGCTGCCACCATTCATTCTGACTTAAAGAGGACTTTCAGGGTCCCAGGAATTGTGGATTCCCTCCTTTATATTTGCCATGTTGGGGTTCTCCCATCAGGTCTGGATTTCAAACAAGAAGTTTGAATTTTTTTGTTTCAGACAAACAGTTCAGACAGCACCCAGTGTTGTTAATTGCTGAGCAGGGGTGAGGTGTGGGACACCCTGTCCTTGGTGGCACTCAGGTGGCCTCTCCCAGGTTGGGGGTTCTGTGTGCAGAGCAGAGAGCAGGAATGTGCTACTCCACACAGAGCTGGCCCTGACCCACATTCCCCAAAGAGAGCTTTTCCCCAAAGTCAAATTTGACCCCTGAAATTAGAAATAATCCAGTGGATAGATTTGGTGATATATTTTGATAAACTGGCCCTTCTAGGTGAAAATATTGAAAATTAAGCACCTTTGAAAGTTTATGATGTCCATATGGGTCATTCTGATTTGGAACATAGAGATGGAAAATACCAAGTTATTTATAGCCCAATTTCTTAATATAGCTTTAACATTTCCAGGGGTATATGTTTGACTGAATTAGCTACTCCTTCACCACATCCAGGCATTGCACTATCCTCATTAACCTCCCAATCTTAATAGAAAAAAAAAAATGAATAATCAACATAAGAAGCTCAGCTGTTGATTAATTTTACTAAATAGGATAGAAATACAAAGTACCATATTGCAAGAGTGAAGATTCAATACACACAATTTGAAATCGGTTTATTAGAATATATAACTCATTAACAGCTGGATGCATACACTGCAGCATTATCCACTCAGGCAGGTGGTGAGAGGGAGGTGGAATTTACATATCTTTAACAGTACCTGAATGCATTTCATTTCAGAGGTCATTCTGCCAAATCAAGTTCAAAATGTTAATAACAAGGTGTGCATTTATAATTAATAAAATCTTAGAGCCAGTGCTATAGTTCAAGTGCATTTTCCTCTTATGTAATTAAGAAGTTAAGTGTATTTGGCAGTTGTCACTCAGAGAGATCTGAAGGTCTCACTTGTCAAACCTGGGGATAGAAATCTCATTAAACCAGGGGTTTTTTTTCAGTTAAGGTTTGTTTGCAAAGTACGTGAGTGGATGGTGGGCAGCCCGAATGGCCAGCTCTGTCAGTCCATAAAGCCAAGTACATAAAAGTAAATGCCAAAACTCAAAGGCTTGGAATAAACAGCCTGATGTTCAGCTTGTGAGAATCACAGAATCTAAGGTTGGAAAAGGCCTCAAAGATCACCAAGCCCAACCATTAGCCAGCACCACCACTGTGTTCACCACTAAATCATGTCCTCAAGTGATACATGCACATGATTTTTAAAGATTTCAGTGATTCCACCACTTCCCTGGACAGCCTGTTCCAATTCTAGGCAGCCCTTCCTGTGAAGAAATTTTCCCTGATATCCAATCTAAACCTCCCCTGAGCCCATTTCCTCACTTTTTGTCCTGTCACTTGTTACCTGTGAGAAGAGACTGACACCCACCTCTCTACAACCCTTTTTCAGGGAGTTGTATCCCTTTGGACAATCCCAAGTTATTACAGAAAACCAGTGAACCCACTCCAGTTGTGGCTGGCACTGCCCCCTAACACAACCTGCTCTGTGTTCACAGAACATCAGCTGAGACACTGGAAATCCTCCTGCTGCCTCCAGACCTGGCCCAGATGGTGTTTTACAGGCGTCAGGATGTGAGGATGTGGTTTTGGGGTGATTAGTGGTTGGACTGGATGATCTTGAAGATGAATCTGTGGTTCTGTGGTTGGTTAATGGGATTCCCAAAGGGGTATTTTAACTCCACATCACTCTGCTCCCCTCTCCTTTTCAAAGGAATTTTCTTTTCCTTCTGGATCACTAGTTCAAATCCAGATAAGGTCAGTTGTCATAGAAATTATTAGCACTACCAGCAGTTCTGTGTAGAACATGGAATGAGTTGGGAGTTTCATTCACACAGGATAAGGGTTCCTAAGTGGCACTAATTGGCTGTCTAATTGTCACACACAGGAGAAAGGCAGAGGATTGATTAGGCGTGGAGACTGAATGCCCCTCTGCCAGCCCGGGTTCCTGGAGCTCATTCCATAGGCATGCTGGCAGGGTAATGAGGGGCAGCCTGCTCTGGATTTCCTGCCTGTCAAGGCAGCATCTTTTCCTGCCAGGCCTTTTCAGGGGCACTTGTTTTACTCCACCAAGGTCAAAGATAGCATCTTTTACAAACAGTGCCTTCACTCAAAAATCAGAGACTTGCAGGATTTACTTGTGAGCAGCATATTTTAACCATTTCCTTTCCTTTCCCCTGAAACAAAGTTTTTGGTCTAAAATTGGATGAGTCACACTGGTGCGAGGCAGAACTGCTCCAGCAAAGCAGATGGGGGTTTATGGTGCTCAGAAATCTGTTCATATTTCTTTGTGCTGTCTGGGTGTCTGCTGTGTGATATACAGGCTCCTGGAGGTACTTGTCACAGCATAGGGAAGCTGTCATGGTGCACATTTCACTCCTGATAAATGGATCATCCAACCAAACAGTGAAGCTTCTCACCTGCAAAAATACATTTTGACCAGTATCTTTTCCCCTGAGCTATGGCACGGGTCACACCCTGCAATGGAGTTACTGTTTAACTTGTAGCAGGTTCACTTTCCCTGGCATAGAACTAAATTATTTAAGTTTGACTCACTGAAGTAGTAAATTTAGGAGCTAATTTGCAATGTGAAAGTCAGAATTACACACAGAGGAAAAGGAAGGAAAAATACCTTGTATATGTTAATGTGTAGACCCAGCTATGGGACTCAGTAAGTTTACTAAGGCTTAAACCTCAATTAGTGAGGTTAAACCACAATTGCTTTAAACCTTATTGTACTCACATTTTAATTCCCTTGTTGTATGAGATGAACAGTATTAGTAAGAACTGTGTTTATCCTTTCAACCACACAAGCTGATCAGTGCATACAGCACACCAGAATGTAGTGTTAGAGCATTCTGTATTTCTGTAAAACAGAAGTGTTTATTCTCCTTTCCCTCCCTTTGCCCACACCTAGAGCAGAAACAGGACAAAGACCGTGTTTCTGTGTTGTGCTGTGTGCCTCCTGTCTCTGACATACACATCACTCCTGTGCTGCCTCCTTCCTAAAGTCACAATCTCATGCAAATTAATTGCAAACAAATGCAGGTAGCAGCTACGCATCAAAAAGATCTGATGCACCTGCCATGTCGTTTTCCTCTCTGCCAATCTGTGGAAGACGAGCATGCACGAGATCCTTTAGGTTTTTAACAACCCTATTCTTAGAATATATTTTCCAGGAACCGCAGAGCAATCTCTGCACGGTTTCAGACTGTGTATTTTGTGATTAGTGTTTCGTAAGTGATGTTTTGCTTAATGATCTAACATCTGCTCTAGGAGGTTTGTTTTTGTAACTTCCCCACCTCCTGCTGAATGAATGCCAGAACCTTGTCCCTTTCCTCCAAGTCAATCAAAGCACTAATTGCATCATAATCATGGGAAGCAGCGGTGACTGCTCGAGTGCTGAAGAGTCAGCAATCAACTCACAACACTCTGCTCACTGTTCAGAGAGAGAAAGCTTCCCTGTGCCGAGCTGGGAATTTCCTGCATGCCAGATTTCTTTAGCTGACTCTGACTTTTCTGGGTTGCAGGGAGATGACTGCACCATTCCCTGCATGGCTGGAACCTACGGAACCAATTGCTCGTCGGTTTGTAACTGCAAGAACGATGGAACTTGTTCCCCTGTGGATGGGCTGTGCTACTGCAAAGAAGGTAAACAAAATTCACATTTAACAAGTCCCTGCCATCCATGCCTGTCCCCTCTGAAAGTGGCACAGCTGTGCAGTCAGGAACTTCACTATTTTCTTGTCCTCCCAAGTATCCCAGCTCAACAGTGAATTCAACCTCTGCCCTGAACAGGGCCCAGACTTCTCTGCTCTGCTGCAGAAATCTGTCACAGAGCTGAGTGTGGGGGCAGAGGCACTGCTCCTGTCCAGGGCAAATGCAGAACAATCCCCTGTCTGCTGGGTTTTATCCTCTGCTGCCCTGATTCTCCCAGATTCCAAAGCCACTGAGCACAGGAGTGAAGGCAGCTTGCTGCCTGTGTGTCCTGCAGCCCTGACCTGACTTCTGCCTGCCCATCTCCACCTTGGGCTGCTCTCATTCCTGCTTTCCTGGGCTCCTGGCTCCTCCCAGCTGCCAGCCCTTGTCGCCCTGAAAACTCAGCTTCTGAGCTTGCTAACATAGTTTTCTAAGGACTTTCCCAGGACAGTAACTGTAAACATAGATATGTATACATTCTTTCTGTTACACGTCTTGTGATGGGCATTTCTCATGGCCAGTGCAGTGAGAAAGTCTTATCCTGACCATCCAATCCCTGGCCATGGTAGGAAGCCTATAAATCCTGTGAGGAAAAATAAACTCTGCTCTTTCTTGCACCACACCTCAACCTGTGTTCGTGTGATCTATTGATCTTCAGCGGTAACAAGCCCTGCCCTTAGGCACTGTGGGGTGAGCCCTGCCTCTTTGCCCTTGCTGCTCAAACTCCTGTAGCCTGACATGGTGACACCCCAGCCTTGTGCAGGTGTCCTCTCTCTCCTGAGCCAGCACAGGGTTCAGGATGTGGCTGTCATTTATTTGGGGAAATAAGAAGCCTGTTCCAGGGTGACAAACATCTTTTCTTCCCACACTACGTGTCCGTAATTCCCTCCCAGATGTGGTGGTGAGCACATCCCATGGATCCAGTAACCACCTGAGAATTCCTCCACTGCTCCATAGTACAGTGGCTCTTCTGTTCCCCCAAAATCCCAGTGTGAGCTATGCCTGTATGACATACATAAGCCCTAAAACAGAAGTGAGGCAAATAACAATAAAATCTGGCATTTCAAACATGAATTAATGGATCACTGTAGAACCCTATTTAATGAGGGTGTATAAACCATGAGTTACTGCTCAACTCCATGACACAGAGCTGCAATGTAATGAAAGTCATTGTGCTCCTGGTAGTTAAGATTTGAGCCTTAATGGCTAGAAATGATGGCCTTGGTCTTTTTTAGGTATAATAGCGGCTTTATATTAAATAGCATTCTCAAAAGAAAAGAGAGAGGTAAGAAACAGGCAGCATCACATGAAAAGTTCTTGCAGTCCTACAGGTCAGAAGGTCTCCAGCCTGACAGACAGGGACTGTCCCAGCAGTTCCTAGAAAGGCATCACACACCTAAATCTGGTTACAGCCAAGGCTGTGATGCCTCCATCTGTGTGTTGAGATGCTGGGAGGTGGAGCTGAGAGGTCACCATGAAAGGTCAGTCTTTGACCCCAAGTTAGTCTTAATTTACACCAAGAAACTGGTCCAAGAAACAAAGAGCTGCAGCTTGCTAGCTGCCTGTCTTGCTGTTTTCATGAAAACATCCCAGATGCTGTTCTGTCCCGTTTCCTTAGGGTGGCAAGGAGTGGATTGCTCTATTCCATGTTCAAGTGGAAGTTGGGGTCTGAACTGTAACCAGACGTGTTCCTGCAGCAATGGAGCGTCCTGCAGGCCGGCTGATGGCTTCTGCCTCTGCTCCCCAGGATGGCAGGGGGAGTTCTGTGACCAGCCTTGTCCTGTGAGTGCAAATAACAACTTGGGGTGGCCTTGCACCCCCTTAAATCCCAGTCCCCATCTCTCTGCTGAACAGAGAGCGGGGTGGGATCTCAATTTGTCTGTGATGTCTGAAGGAAATCAAGTGTAAATAACAGATTGGGGTTCTAGCAGTCAACTGGATGTATTATCCTTTGCATTGTATTTTATCAAAGCTATTGCTGTGTTATCTGCATTTGCTTGAACGTCATTTTTTAAAGTGATTCCTCATTTGGTTCTGTATAGATACATTAGGCACTGAGTTTCTGTCTTGTCTGTATGTTAATTTTAAAAATGCGACTCAGCATTAAGAGGGACATGATAGATGATTTTGCACATTTCAGAACAAAAAGCTGATCACTGAGAGGCTTTTTTATTTATATTTTTGAAGGATGGAACATATGGCCTTAATTGCAGTGAGCGTTGTGACTGTAACCACGCGGATGGGTGTGATCCTGTCACTGGCTACTGCTGCTGCCTTGCAGGCTGGACAGGTAAAATCAGCAATTACCTTTGTAAACCTTGAGGGTTTTGTTGATTTGGGGTTTGGGGGGTTTTGCTGGTTTGTTTTGCTTTGTTATTGCAGCAGTTATAGCCTTGGACTTGTGACTGCCAACTTCTAAATAATAGATTGAGACAAGATCAGCTGAACTTGCCCATATTTAAATCACTCATGATGATGACAATAATTGGCATTCATTAAATTTGTATTCAGATGAGTTGAAGATGGCTCCAACCCTGCAGCCAGATGTTAGCCTTCTGTAAAAGCATCCTCAGGAGGATGCAGATCATCCATAATCCAGTTTTTCTCCTTGAACTGCCCTTTCCACATGGGTACAGTTGTGGGATGGTGAATCCTGAGATCATCACACCTGGGAGGCAAAAAGAGCATTTCTGATGAGTCATTACAGCTGCTCCATCATCCAAAACTCTGGATTTTCCCATTTTCCAATGGTTCTTGTCACAGGGTAGTTGCAGAGAGCAGATTAATGCTTGTTTGACAGAGCTCTTGTGATTACACAGCAACAGAATATTCAGTGAAGCTGGAGAATCCAGGCTGGAGTTCTCAGTACAATTAGACCTGCACTTGACTCCACACTGATGTTCTTTTTTCCAGCTTTTGACAGCAGTAGGGGGCAAGATATTGACCCAACCATTTCACACTTTGCTGCCTTAAATTCTGGTTAATCTCTCTCTGCTCTCTGTTGAGGCCCTGGGTGGAAATAAAGTTATGTTCCATATACTGCAGAACCACCAGTGGCACTGACAGTCAAAATGCATTTCTATTAACAGCAAGTCATTTGGAAAAATCTAATTGTTTTTCAAACAAGTGCAAGTTGGAAGGATGCATGGAACAAGGCAGGCTTATCAGGCAGCCAACATTTGGGATGCTGTCTCCTTTGCTGTTGATTTATGCCTTCTGTTTCTGATGGAGAGGACATCCCAAAGCAGCCCAGCTCCCAGGAGCATGAAGCAAAAGCAATGAAATTATGCCTAAAACATACAACGGAAAAAATCTTCAAAGAATTAAACAAAATGTTAAAATACTAAGTTGTACATATTGTGTACAACAAAGCTACTTTTCGAAGATACTGGGCATGTATCCCTGAAAAGGACATTTTTACCCCAAGAAAATCCATTTTATAAGCTCACTTGCATCCCCCCTTCATTCTCTTGCCTTCCTCGCTGTCTGGGCTGCATTAATCTTTCTCTGAGCCTTCTTGCCATCAATAGATTCATCTATCAGGCTTTAAAACTCTACTGTTCATTATTGATGATCAGCAGAGAAACAGCTGGTGGGTTTCCCTGTAGTCACTGTGAGCTTCTTCAAAGGAAAAAAAATGGCTTTTAAAAGTACAGTAATTTGAAGAGAGATATTTATATACACTTACTCTAAAAGTTTATTACACATCTTCTGGGTGTAGCATTCCAGAGGAAACTGCAGGCACTGACCTTTGCAGGCAGTGAAGGCTGAAGGTGTGGCTTTTTCTCAAAGGCATTTGCAGCAAATACTTTGTGCTTACTCCCATGCACATCTGTAAATGGACATCAAATGCAGACACTCATTAATTAAAGGTAAGAATAATTTCTATGTCCTTTTAATTTCCATATTGGGCAAGGTAAGTGTACATTATCTTGGAGGGGATTTGTTGCATTCTCAGCACTTTATCCATCAGTGTGCTGCTGCAGCTCTGGAATTCTTCTCTTCAGGATCACATTTCAGGGAGGAAAATATTGTATCCATATTTGAGACCAGGTTGGAGTTGAAATGTTGACAGGGCCCTGTAAAGTGGAAATGTTGATAGACAGAACCAACACGTGTTTTGTCAATTCTGTTCCAAAGTTTTTTCCACTTGGCTTGCCACCAGACACAAGGATAAATTCTGCTTATACCAGTTTGAAAGTATGTAATTTAAGAAACTCTTCAGCTAGATAATTATATTTTCATATTAAGGAGTATGGCATCAGTGAAAGATTAATCTTATCTGCAGTTGTTGTGAACTGGGCCATGATGTGTATTGCAGTGCATTTTATTAATATGAGGTGATAAATAATTCAGGCTGAAATTTTTGCTTTCTGATTTTGGTACTAATTAGGCATGGCCTGAAAAAGATCAGAAAAGTTCAGGATCATGGAACTTCTGAAGGTTCTCCTGCCCACTCACACCAAACAGAGAATTCACATGGCTTTCAGATCCTAATAGCCACAAAACTTTATCTGAAATAACATATTCTGTATGTTCATCCCAGACATGGGACTCCCTCTTGATGTCTGTGTTTTATGTAAAGATCAAGGGGAAGATTGAACCCATTTTCTTTAAAGTGGTTTCAAGATGTTACTGATATAAACCTTCAGGGACTGATAGATGGTAAGAACATGGAGGAGGACTGGCAAAAGAAAGAAAAAGTCATGTTCAGAGTAGCATGCAATGTAAGGTAATAGCACTCTGCCATCCTTTTATTATGTCATGACTGCCACCCAAGACTATTACTCAGGACAATGACCTTCCGTGGATATCAGCTGGGGGAAGGTAATTTTCAGGAGCTGAGTGTCTCTGGCAGATGGGGAGATGATGAAGAGATCCCCACGTCTCAAGCAGGAGATCACAAAGCTGTGCAAACCAGCTGGATGCATAAATAAACAGAGGCAACAAGCTGCTCTGAGACATTCTGTGGGGAATTGCACATGTGCAGCCGAAGGCAGGAGCTGGATCAGCTCTGGAGATGGTTGTACCTGGAGTTACTGCTGCAAATCTCCCAGTCTTGGGCACATGGTGTCACCAGTGGCTTTGGAGACAGCACAACAAGAACAGAAGCCCAAAACTGCATTGGCAAAATGCTCTCACGTGGTACAAATAAAGTGAAACTTGTTGAAATGTTGGTCAAAATCAGGTCTGTGACCTGCTGATGCCATGCAGAGCTGCATTTCCTTCCACAGGAAGGAAATGTGGGGTGCAGTGACACTGAGGGCTCAGCCTGAAGTTCTCCAGGTTGGACATGTGTAACCTCATGTATACAAATCCATGGAAATCCAAACAAAGGTGCACATATCTGGTGCTGGGTTAAAAAGGAAAAGTCTTGCTCTCAGAGGACCAAGTCTTGATTGCTCAGGCTGTTTTTTAAGGATTAATAAGGATCTCTTTATCTTTGCTGTGCATTTTAGGTACAGACACTTCTGTGCTTGCAGCTCTGTCAGGTCCCTCAGAGCTCCCAACACACCAGGCAGTTGTGAAAGAGGTGTTACTTTATGTACACACAGGTTGAAATGAAAATGCTCAGTGCTAATTACCTTTGGTTAATTAGGGATCCTGCACATACTGAATCCGCAGAGGGAATGGAAACACAGAAATGCTGCATGGTAGAGCAGCTCCTGGAAGTCCTTTGCAAGCAAACAGGTCCTGGAGAAGCAGGAGGGTCTCATCTGTCCCAGGTGCAACCTCCTCTCCTGGATGCTCAAGTGACAGTGACAAGCTTATAAATTTCAGTGAGGCTCCTCTTAATTATTACATAATCTGAAAATGGACAGGAAAGGACCAGCTGCCCTGGTGGCCTTGCTGGGTGGGCAGGATGACTATGCTCCTGTGCCAGGTATGATGCTGTGCCTCTGGAGATGGCAGCTCCAGCCAAGCCCTGTGGGGGATGCAGGATGAACTTCAAACCCCCTCAGCTTGGCCCACCTCAGACAGCTGTTGGCAGCAGGTTTGGTACCAGAAATGGCTTCCACACAGATTCCAACTGGTTAAAACTGTGTAGCCTTTAGCTGCCTCCCTCAGTAATTAAATTAGAGCTGCTGGCCTGTCCTCTAATTTCTGGAGATGCCTGACCAGAGCCAGGTAAGACTCCCTGGGAAGACAGACCCAGGTGTTGCCCATCCTGCCCCCAAGACCCAAGCCCATTTGTTTTCCCACTCCCAGAGTGATCACAGAAGGAGAGCCACAGGCCTGGCTGCTCCTCATGCTGAGCTCTGCTCCTCCCTGAGATGAGCCAACGTGTTCCAGATTAATTGTGGCAGTGTGTGTTTTGTTACCCTTTCAGCTCTTACATTGGGATTAAATGGGAAGTGATCTGCAGGGGGATATATTCCACTCCTCTAAATGCTAAGGTCAGTTAAAATCCTGTTTATCTGAATTCCTTTAATCTGAAATGCTGTCTTATCTGCATCTTGTTCTGCATTTTTTTCTTGTGTGGTGCTCTGGTTTTGCAGAGCTGCTGTGGTGATGGTATCTCTGTTCCCCACTGAGCTGGGGTACCCAGAGGCTTCTCTCAGTATCCAAAGCCAGAGTTTATTCACTATATTTTAACATCCCAAAGATGTGTGGGGAAAGTTAGCCTGGTGCTGTAGATATGAGATGGAAAACATAAAAGTGTGCATCCCATAGTTAATTATAAAAGAAGCCCATATAGATTTTCCTTAATTAATCAGGATGGCAAACACAGGTATGCAAATGATGCATGCTGCTGAGGAACAAACATCTTATTACTTTGGTACTTTACACCTTCAGGCTTCATTCCTGGCTCATAAGAGCAGCCTGCCTCTTCCTTTGCTGTTACCCAGGAAATCAAAATGCACATTTCCCTGTCCTTTACAACCTCAAGAACTCTCACACAAACCCCGATTGTGTCTCCCCGTGTCCAGAGCTCCAGCACAGGGGCTGTGGCAGGCTGGAGCTGCAGGGCTCCCACCTGTGGGATCTGAGGCAGGGATGGGGTCAGGAGGTGCTGCTGGGCACAGACCAAGGCAGCTCCAAGGGACGAGGCTGCAGGGCTGGGAGCATTTGCAGGCTGGCAGTGACATCTGCACTGTCACTCAAACACAGAAACATGTTTCTTGCCTCCTGTGGACACATTAATTCAGGAAAACTGATAAGCCTGTTACTCAAGGGAAAGCCTTTTTGAATTTTAAAGGAGCAGTGACCACTTTGATGGGAGCTCTAAGGTATTTTTAACTTCACTTTCTCTGAGTTCTTTGCAAGGAAGTGAAAAATCCTTAAAGG